TACATTTCCTTATAACAGGACACCACAGAAACCAAGCTTGGGCTACCTGTGGTAAGAGAATGGAATTTGACTCCCATACGAGACCCAGTTTTCAATTATGGTACACATTCTAATATTGAAGTGGGAAAAAACTTAATGCCAAAATTCAGGGGCGGATACTGTGCGCTAGTACGAAAATGGAACCTTATTTTCGGGCACCAAGTGTCCGGAGCATATGTGGACACCTTATTATTGATAGGCAAACTAATTTTAATGAGTAACAATTGTATTTACCTGAGTATTTCTCCCATTGCTCCTTAGATACCTTTATAAATATGGCAAAAGAGTATACCATTAACCAGAAGATCATTCGTCCAGCCATTTTAGATTCACAGAGTTACTGCAATGACACGAACAATGGCTACGAAGAAAAATCGAAACAGCTCAATCATGAGACAGTTCTAAATTAAATGTGAGGTCAATACGCATGTACGTTACATGCCATCCTCAGATTAATCAGAACCAGTTATATATTAATTTTACTCCTGAGTACTAGGAACATGGATTTTGACGTTTTTTTAATGCAATGATGCAGTATTGCATATCAGAATCATAAAAGTTGGTCATTTGCAGACGTGTAACTGAACCTACATGCATTCATTCGGACATTTTATTTAGACTAGTTTTTTTAAGGACTTGTCAACTGACCAAACTAAATCATCTTATCCTTTTCAATTTTCAGCAAAATAATTTAGGGCATATAGTAAAGTAAATAATTACCAAATGACTTAACCACGAATAAACAACTCATGTACAATTTTATATTAAATACTAGGTGTTTTTATTTACATCATAAGTAAGAATATTTTCTAATATTTATTATTAACAAAGAGTCAAATTAACAAAACTGTCACTAGCAAGGTGCTATGTTCAAGCATCATACCTTTTCAATTTTCAGCAAAATAATCTAGGGCATATAGTAAAGTAAATAACCAAATGACTTAATCACGGATAAACAACTCGTGTACAATTCTATATTAAATACTAGGTGTTTTTATTTATATCATAAGTAAGAATATTTTCTAATATTTATTATTAACAAAGAGTCAAATTAACAAAACTGTCACTAGCAAGGTGCTATGTTCAAGAGTCAGCTTGATAGAAAAGAGATTTAAATAAGATGCTCTGAATGTAATTTAAAACATTTATTATAGCATTATACAACTCGTTCAACATTGACCGTGATATTATACCCATAACTAGTTATAATTCAAGTTGTTTGGATTTTAGGCTTCTGTCAATCCGAATTCCAATGCACTGAGTTTTGATTGAGCCTACTATCGAGAGAGCTACTCTCGATCTGGCCGGCTGTATGGTATGAAAATAAGTGTAATACATTAATGTCCCCGCTGAATATTAAAATGCATGACACCCAAATCTCTGAAGCTCTTAATTTGAATCCTAGCCTTTAATACATGCCTTAAGGAATTAATCTCCCGAGCTACTACATCAATAGCTCTACGCATGTATCTGTCAAGTGTCTTAGCCTTAAGTGTTAGTACTCTTACCGAAAACACGGTAGGTAGACCAAGCTATCGTTTGTAGGTTTGGCTACCTGCAAATTAAAAACAAAATCAAAGATTAATTGTAAGATATTACTTCCGCTTACTAGAGAGATTTACTTCCGTATATTATGCATGTATGTAATTTATTAGCATAACTGCACGTGGAGAATAAAGCAGAATAAGTGTGGCCATCTTGTTTTTTGTTGTGGTTAAAATACAACAAATTGGCGACGAGGATGGGATCCAAATCAGCCTAAATTTGGGAGAGATGGTCCTAAGGAAAAGTTCTCAGCGAAGAAAGCCGTCGAATCAGCTATTGTGTCGAAATGCCGGGCGGAGAAGCACCTAGTGCAGCGAGTTCATTTTGCTACGGCAAAATAGCGAAAKATCAAAAGGGTACCGACTGGGAAACTTACACTGAACAAATGGATTTCTACTTCATTGCGAATAAAATAGAAGACCCCAAGACAAAGAAGGCAATTCTACTGGCAAATTTGTCGCCGGAGATGTATCAGTTATTAAAGGATTTACTTATACCCGCCAAACCAACCGACGAAGGTACGACGTATRATGTTATTGTTGGGCGACTTAAAAATCATGTCAAGCCGGAAAAATCTGCCTTAGTAGCACGATTTGACKTCGATAACCAATCTAGAAGGGACGGTGAGTCAGTTAAAGATTACGTAGCTGTTTTAAAGCACCTAGCAAGTGAGTGTAAGTTCAGTAATGCCATGCGAAATGAGCGCCTGCGAGACCGATTGGTATCAGGCATTCGCGATGACAAAATGCTACGTGATTTGCTAAAAGAAAACTTGGATGATTTGACGTTCGACGGAGCAGTAGCTAAGTGCATAGCTCATGAGCAAGCTAACAAGGATGTGCATGCCCTTAAGGGGGAGGTGGAACCCAATGTCAGCGCGAGGGTCCACGTTTTGAAAGATGTTAAGCCAAAGGGGAAGCAAAAGCGTAGAATCTCAAAGAAACAAGAGACTAACAAACAAGAGCACAACACTCAGCAGCCTGAACAAAAATGCTTTCGTTGTGGGGAGCAGCATGACCCTAAGACATGTAAATTTAAAAAAGAAAAATGTTACCATTGTGGAAAGGTGGGACTCATTAAGAGAGCGTGTCGTGCTTTAACTGCCAAGGGGACCCCGGTGAAAACCCTAGAGTGTAGTGATGACGGGAGCAGCTCCTCAGATCTGAACCATCTAACCACTGCCAAAAAGAGAGAGCCCATTTGCATTGATTTAGCCCTAGAGAAAACCCCATTTCGTATGGAAATCGATACAGGTTCAGCTGTTACTGTTATTAGTGGAAAAAGTTACCGGGAATACCTAGGACATATTCCCCTGTTAGATACCACTCTTCAGCTGCACACGTATACTGGTGAAACTGTTAGACCATTGGGCAAGTGCACCGTAATGGTGACATATCAAGACCAAAAGAAAAACCTACCTCTGTATGTAATAAAGGGAGGTGGCCCGGCGCTAGTGGGTAGGGAGTGGTTAAGAGAGATTACCCTAGACTGGCGGCTGCTAAAGATGGAAGTCCGTGCAAGCGGACTGCAAAGCGTGCTAGACCGCCATGAGACTGTGTTCTCAGACGACTTGGGTTGTCTGAAGAACATTAAAGCCAAGTTCACCCTGAAGGATGGGGCGCGTCCTCAGTTTTGGAAGCCAAGGCCTATTGCCTTAGCGCGTAAGCCGGCTGTTGATAAAGAGCTGGAAAGACTAGAGTAACAAGGAATTTTGAAAAAGGTTACCCACAGTGAGTGGGCAGCCCCTATAATCACACCCATCAAGAAAGATGGTAGTATCCGGGTCTGTGGTGACTTCAAGGTAACAGTCAACCCCTTTCTCGAAATTGATGTGTACCCATTGCCCCGTATCGAGGACATATACTGGAGTTTGAATGGTGGTAAGATCTTCTCTGTAATTGACTTGAAGCAAGCATATTTACAGATGGAAGTGGACGAAGGTAGCAAACCATACGTCACGATTAACACTCACCGCGGTCTCTACCAGTATCAGCGGATGCCCYACGGTATTGCCTCAGCACCAGCTTTGTGGCAGCGAGCAATGGACCAGGTGCTGCAAGGWCTCAACGGGGTGCAATGTTATATCGATGACATAATCATAACAGGCAAGACAGAGGAAGAGCACCTGGAGACCATGGACCAAGTCCTGACAAGGCTGGAAGAGAATATACTCAAGGCTAATAAAGACAAATGCACCTTCCTCAGGGACTCCGTAGAGTACTGTGGACATATTATTGCAGCAGAAGGCCTTCGACAGTCCCCTAAGAAGGTGAAAGCCATCACTGATATGCCGGCGCCCCAGGATGTCTCTCAACTACGTTCTTTCCTGGGGATGGTACAGTATTATGCACGTTTTTTGCCAGACCTGTCCACTCATCTTAATCCCCTGCACCRCCTGTTGGCTAAAGACCAGWAATGGAGCTGGGGGCAGAAGGAGGAAAAAAGCTTCCAAACGGTCAAGAACATGCTGACAGAAGATCGAGTCCTTATCCATTTCGACCCGGACTTGCCAGTGATCCTGGCCACTGACAGTTCTTCGTATGGGTTAGGGGCGGTGCTGTCTCATAAGCTGCCCGACGGAAGCGAAAGACCAATAGCCTACTCTTCAAGGTCTTTARCGCCAACAGAAAAGAAATATTCCCAAATAGAGAAGGAGGCACTTGGCATCATTTGGGGTGTAAAAAGGTTCCGGTCATACCTAGAAGGACGGCACTTCAAGCTGATTACAGATCACCAACCGTTGAAGTTCCTAATGGATCCAAAAAGAGCCGTCCCAGTGACAAGTGCAGCCCGAATTCAGCGATGGTGTCTGTTTTTGGGCGCGTTCTCATATGGGATTGGGTATCGCGGAACCAAGGAACATGCAAACTGTGACGGATTATCCCGACTACCTTCACCAGCGGCCCCAAGGGACCGATTGGACAGTGTTAGTTTCCTCTACTCCACTGTAATAAACACCCTTCCAGTCACTGAAAGAGACCTAAGACGGGAAAACCGAAGGGATACTGATCTTGCTCGTGTGGTCAGATTTGTGGAGGAGGGGTGGGACTTCTACGAAGCTTGTACACAGCTCGCACCATATGCATCACGCAGTGAAGAGATAGTTGTTCATAACGGAGTGCTAATGTGGGGGTACTCGAGTCATAGTTCCACCTAAGCTGCGAAGCAGAGTCCTCGACATTCTACACGAAGGCCACATTGGCATGGTAAAGATGAAGGGGCTGGGCCGGA